TTTGTCTCTCTATCGCTCTTTGTGCTTTCCTTATCCTATTAAAATCGACCTGTGTAAATGTCCATGTCTATGCTCCGTAGGTGAGCACCGGTATTATACAGGAGTTATATACCTTGCTTCGTAAGTAGAGAGATTGTTTGATTTTTTAGAACGTAAGAAAGTTTGCCGAACGCTGCCCATCTCATTCTTACTCGTCTCGATATTTCGGCTGTTAGATTTTCTCTGTTACCTCTGATTGCTTGTCCTAGATAGATATACTCATTTACCTGTTCTATTTTTTCTGTTTGTAATTTTACTGCCTCTTGGTCTTCCGTGTTTGTCATTACTTTCGTTTTGTTGAAGTTAATTTTTAGGCCTTTTTGCAGTGATTTTTCATGAAGTTCATTCAGCATTAATTCTAGTTCTTGTCGTTCCGAGGAGATCAGAAGTATATCATCCGCATATCTAAGGTGATTTAGGTACTTTTCGTTAATACATATTCCTCTGTTTTCCCAATCTGTTGATTTTATTATGTCTTCGAGGGTAAACAGTTTAGGTGAAATTATATCGCCTTGTCGGACTCCTCGTTTAACTTTTATATTATCCGTTATTAATTTTTCGTCCAGAATTACGGTCATGGTTGCGTTTTGGTAGATATCATGTATCAATTGTCGGTATCTTGAATCTATGCTACTATTGACCAGAGCTTCTTCCACCGCCCAGTGTTCAATGCTGTCGAAATGCTGTCGCGGATCAACTGAGGATATGACATTAGGCAGCAGTAATGTCATTACTGGATTAAGGCTATGGGAAGTAAAAATTCTGTAAGCCTAATTCCAGATACTCACAGGCGTCACTCACATTATGAGTTAAGCGGCTGTGATACTACGACAACAGCAGCGTCTGACCCAGAGTGGGTGGCTGCAAACAGCGTCTGTTCTTAGAGTGGGCGGCTGAAACACACTTATCAACCCGTCTGGCCAGCGTGGTGAGTTCACGGCCAATCTACCCCCCCCCTTTATGACAGATACAGCATCCATATTATACCATACCTAAAATAATAAAAACATAGTCGTCACTCAAGTTCAATGGATCTGTGAAAGAAAATGTCTCAATTAGCGTATCCATTTAGTAACAACCACTTAGGCACTAACTACTAACTTAAAAAATTAACCAAACTTCGATTGAAACGATTCGATTCTTCGTATATCCTGGACAGAACATGTCACCAACATAGAGGTAATCCAAAGAATCGGAAAGAAGAAAGAAATCGTGAATACAATTAAACAATGAAAGCTTGATCATCTAGGCCACATATTGAGACACGATAAGTACCGTCTACTGCAATTGATTGTCCAGGGAAAAATAGACAGTAAGCGTGGGCCAGGCAGGAAAAGACGCTCGTGGCTCCAAAATCTGCGGAAGTGGTTCGGGCTCTTCTTCTTCTTCTTCTTCTTCTTCAGTGCCTTATCCGGTCCGGATGTTGGCGATCATCAAGGCTATCATGGTTTTGTTGACTGCTCTGCGAAACAGCTCCGCTGAGGTCATCCCAAACCATTGTCGGAGATTTTTCAACCACGAGATACGACGGCGTCCCGGTCCTCTTCTGCCAAATACTTTACCCTGCATAACGAGTTGAAGAATTAAGAAGAATACGTTGTTTAATTAAATTAAGCACTTCTTTTTCTTTTGTCATGCGCTGTAGGACCTCAACGTTGGTGACATGGTCCACATAAGATATTTTTAGTATCCTTCTGTATATCCACATCTCGAAGGCTTCGATTCGTTTTTCAGTGGCTTGCGTCAGTGTCCAGGCTTCAACTCCATATAGTAACACTGGAAGAACGTAGCACCTCACTATCCGCATCTTGGTTCCTAACCTGAGATCACTGCAGCACAGCAAGGATCTCAACTTAATAAATGTAGACCGTGCCATTTCAACTCTGGATCTAATCTCTTGAGCGCAGGCCCATTGTACGTTGAGGGTAGTTCCTAGGTAAGTGAATCTGTCGACTCTCTGGATCTCTTCGCTACCTGCCATTAGTGTAAGCAGTACCTAGCTTTGGTAGAACAAATTTGCTCATCGACGGATAGATATTGTTCCAATGGAATTCCTTTTGAAAATGCTTCACTGAGGTGGCCAATTATTGGTCTAATTTCATAAACTCTATCGTAGCTTGGATTGTTACGGGATAAGACATCGTATAAAAAAATCGTTCTCAAAATACAAACATTCATCATCAATCAGCCAATCGTGTCCACTGCTGGACATAAGCCTCCCTCAGTTCTTTCCAGTGTTCTCTACACTGGGCCGCTTGTAGCCAGTTTCCCGCTACACGTTTTATATTATCAGTCCATCTATCCGTCCACCGTCCATCTTGTGCTCTGGCTAAGTGCCCTGCCCAGTTCTTCTTAAGCGACGTGGTTCTGTCGATGACGTCTTGAACTCCTGATCTTTGCCTGATTTGTTGGTTTGTTATGTGGTCTCGAAGGCTTACGTTCAGCATTACATGTTCCATGGCTCGTTGTGTAACTCTGAGTTTATTTTTGCGTGAGTGTTAAAGTCTCTGCTTCATAAGTTTGTACAGGTAAAACACATTGGTTATAAACCTTCCGCTTGATACACATGGGAATTGAACTTTTTAGAATATGGCCTAATTTACCAAATGTTGCCCAAGTTAGGCCTATTCGCCTCTGTATTTCATGTGTTTGATTGTCTCTGCTTATTTTGATTTCGTGTCCCAGTTATTTGTAAGTGTCTGTTTGTTGTATGGTATTATTGTCAATAGTTATATTTCCACTCATTACGAGATTTATTATAAGTTTAGTTTTCTCAAAGTTTATATTTAATCCTGCTCTGTCAGGCAGACTTTTAAGCGAATGCATAATAGAAACTGTATCTTGTAAATTATCTGCGATTATTAAAACATCATCTGCAAATCTTAGGTGATTTAATCTTTCTCCATCTATATTGATGCCCCTATCTTGCCATTGAGTGCTCTTAAATATTGACTCTAGAGCTGCCGTGAACAATTTTGGTGAAATATTGTCTCCTTGTCTAACTCCTCGACCTAAGCTGAATTTTTCTGTGTCTTCGTGTAGTCGTATACTTGATGTAGCGTTCTCGTAGATGTTTTTGATTAGCGTCGTGTACCTGTAATCTATTCTGCTTTGATTTAGGGCTTTCAGTATTGTTTCAAACTCTACAGAATGAAAAGCTTTCTCGTAATCGACAAATGCAAGAACCAGTGGTATGTTGTACTCGATGCACTTTTCTATTAAGATCTTTATAGTATGCAAATGGTCATTTGTGCCATATCCTGCCCTGAAGCCTGCCTGTTATTTGGGCTGATAGAAGTCAAGTTTAGGTGTTAGCCTCTTTGTTAAGATTTTCATAAAAAGTTTGTACATATGTGTCAAGAGGCTGATGGGTCTATAATTTTCTAATTTAGTAATATCGCCTTTTTTGTGTAACAAGACTATTACTGCATTGTTCCAGTCTTTTGGAATCGTACGCGCATATAAGCATTTATTAAACAGTTCGCTTACTGATTTTAATAAAATTTCTCCTACTGCTTTTATTGCCTCGATAACGAGTCCACCAGGCGATCGATGGTTCTTCATTTCCTTCAAAACTGCTCTTACTTCTGACACAGTAATGGGTAAAAAACATTAATAAATTCAATTTAATAATGCATATAATTTGAGAACGATTTCCGAAGTGTAAATTGAAACGTCAATAAAAATTTTCGTCGTTTATCTACCCTCCCATCCCTCCTCTGAACACGATTCCTACTTTCCAATTCTCTGGGGTAACTTCCAGTGTCAATATGCGGCAGATAAATTTATAAATACGCTTCCATGGCACATACCCACTTTCTGTGCCATTCTTTATTAGTTCTACGGTTATTTCATCTGTGCCAGGCGATTTTTTAGACGTATATAGTTTTATGACGTATATAGTTTCTTTTAATGTTGGTCCTTCGAGTTCTGCTGTGTGATGAAATATTTCTTCTTCTTAGTTTTGTTCTTTTTCTCGGTTAGAAGCTCTTGTAAATGCTCCTTCCACCTTTTCATTAGTTCCTCTTTGTCGTTAATAATCGCCCCGTTTTTATTCATGCACACTGTTGTCTTGTCATGTGTCCTTGAGTGTATTGGTTTCCTTATATATGCTCATACATATGCTCTACATATTCTCCTTGCATTCCTTCTTAATTCTTCATATGCCCTTCTATTCAATCGGAAATTCCTCTGTAGACATTTTTGCCTAGCTGTAATTTTGGTACTTATTACTTGTTGGCAATATTGGTCAAACCATTGCTCATTTCTTTTGCTTGAGAGTTCGCCTAATGTTTCCCTTGCTTTATTGGTAATTGAGGTTTGGATGACATTCCATTCATCTTCGATGTTGTTTTCTTTTCCTCTTTCATTAAATATTAGATTTATTTACTGCTTGTACTGATTCTTCTTCTTATGATTTATAAACATATATCTGTTCCATTTTCTTTGTTTGGCACCTTTCTCTTTTCTTACCATTGTTATTTTTTGTTTGGCCAAAAAATATTTTGAATTGCAATTCGCGCATCTATAAGATTTAACATCTGTTACGGAGGTTGCCCTTTAAATAGAATTAAATAGAAATATTTTTTGGGGAAAACTCGTACTAACTCATACTCTACGGTTTGCATAGTGCGTCTTTAAACCTAAAATGCTTAGTTTCACTTAGTTTCCAAAACAAAACTTCCTCTTGGGTTAATTTCTAAGTCCCTTAAATTAGAGCCCAACTTCTGAGCACCCTTTCTTCCCAATCAGATTTATTTTACGTTACACTTTGATAGTTGAAATGAAATTGAATCCACCTCGAATTAAAACGGCATGTCAAAACAAATTAAAAACTCTAACTCCAAAGTCTTGCTATTTTAGTGGCTGTACTTGCAACATTTTTTTATTAAAAATAAGAAATCTTTTATAAAAAAAAAATATTAATAATAAAACAACAATCTTTATAAAAATATTTATTGCTAACTGTAAGATAAATAATTTAATAATCCAGCATGTTTAACCATACTATAAAAAGCTCCATTTGTGTTTTGCAACAAAACTCTCGGACTGTCAAACTCTTTAATTTGTCCTTTATCCATAACCATAACCCTATCACAATCTAAAACTGAATGCAATCTATGTGCTATAATAAACATAGTACTCTCCACAAAATTACTCTTAACGGTTCTATGTAGCAGTTCGTCAGTCTCGTGATCCATATTAGCAGTGGCTTCATCTAAAAAGACTACTTTAGACTGTCGCAAAATGGCTCTAGCTAGACAAATAAGCTGCTTTTGCCCAGAACTTATATCTAAACTACCTTTACTGATTGGCTGGCTCAAATTAGTAACCCAATGTTTAATATTGGCTTTTTCCAAAGCCTCCCATAATTCAGTGTCTTTATATTCATTTAGGGGGTCGAGATTCGTTCTAATAGTACCAGTGAATAGTATTGGATCTTGTGGAATTAAAGCGAGTTTCTTTCTTAGAAATGTTAAGTCTAAAAGTTTAATATTTACTCCATCTATTAATATTTTTCCATCAATATCATATAGTCTAAATAGTGTAGAAATTATTGAAGATTTTCCTGCTCCAGTCCTTCCAACTATACCAATTTTTTCCTGACTATTAACGCTGAAGTTTAAGTCTTTTAACACCCTAACATTTTCTGTGTAACTAAGAGAGACCTTTTCGTATGTTACTGTTCCTTTGCTGGGCCAGTGTTCCAACGTAGATCCAGATTTTGCTTCGGTTTTGATTTCGGTATACTCCAAAGCTCTTTCTACAGATGTCATGAGATTTTCCAGCTCTGACCATTCCCGTACTCCCCACTGAACCGAATTGCCCAAAAGCATTACTTGGGTTAGAGCTAACCCAACGTTTCCTGCGCTGGTATCTAAAACCAAAATTAAATATTATGAACTATTATAATGTAATATTGTACTTTTCTAACAAAAGTTTTTTTATTTTCTGAACCATCAAACTTAAATTGATAAATCTTTTAGTTGCTGAATCAGACTTTTAACATTGATATAATGAATATCAGTGAAATAAAATGTCTGTTCAGGACAGTTTCAGATAAAAAAACATAAGGGGTATTTTACTCTGAATCTAATAACTAATACTATAAACCTGGACTTATTATACAACCAAAAAATCATTGAATATGTAATAAATTTCTCATGTATATCAGAAAAGATCATGACAATGTTAAGACGGTTCAGGTACTAGCACCATAATAGATACAAGTTACGAAGAAATTGAAATTTTCTACGAATTATCATCAATGATTATTACAATTTAAGTATGAAAACATGGTCATAGTGTTATGTGAGATTTCAATTCAAAGATTGACAGAGGGATACAAGGAGAATTAATCTGTGATTCTGAATTAGGGATAAGAATGCAGTAAGTCATTTGGCTGCAATGTACAGTTCCAAACAAGAAAAAAGTCACTCGTCTGAAAAAAAAGTTAAGATAATAACACTTTTTCTGCTCATGTATTACTAAAAATTGCATAACGGATTAGAGATAATAGAATATACCGTTAACAAAAAACCAAATTACCTGTGTCGACAAAAATAAATCTCGTAATAACTATAATCATGAACGTCGAGCACAAAAAGTCCATGAGGAAACCAAAAGCTCTGATGGTGCAAGCAGACATGTAGTGCGCAGACGTGTGCAGATCTTGATGCTTATCGAATTCATCTATGAGTCTTTTTTGTACGCCGTAAGCTCTTACAGTGGTCAAGCCTTCCAGAGAAGCATTCAGATGGCCAATCATCGGGCTTCTTGCTAAAACAGTTGATAAAAGTAGTAGTCTAATATATTCAATATAAGATTCAAAAGTCTTTGTGTCTATATATTTTTTGTGGCTACAAGAAGGCTGATTTGAATAGAAACTGACTAATACAAATACTAATGCACAAAATATTGATTTTTTGTTACAATGTTACAAATAAGAAAAGTAGATTGCCTTTGGTAACAAATATAATAAGGAAGAATTTAACCTCAGTAACTAGAACTATCCTTGTACTTTTTTATCTTAGATCTCAACATTTGTTTTATCCAGCTTACTATTACGTGGGAATTAATACAACGGACATACCAAAAAAATACTGCTACGAAAATTTGACAAACAACTATGATGGGCATACCAAAAAGGCAGATTCGCAAAACTAGATAAACGACAACTTCTTCTCCATTTCGTTTACCCTTCTTCTTTTCCCCCTTTCCTTTATCCTATTAGAGTGTTCGATTTGGGCTAGCTATTTTAATTTCCATTTACCTTATGTTGGTCCGTATATTTGTATTATTCCTATCTTGTCTTTTAATTATATTTGGGCTGTAATTATTCTGGATGATACTACTTCGTAGTTCGTTATCCTTGATTCTAATCTTTTATTCACTATTATATCGACTCCTTCTTTTGCTCTATGTCTCTGCGGTACTCCGAAATAGTATAGGCTATATTTCTGGTTGATATTGATGTAACCTCTCCTATCTCTTTTGTTTCGATTATTCACAATATTTGTACATCCATTTTTTCCATTTTTTCTATAGCTTCCATTTCTTTGACAGTCAGAGATGTCAGATTATATGTCTCTATTCCTATATGATTTATCTCGTTATGATGTATTTCCTTTTTACCGTTTTTTCTTCTCCGTTACTACTGTTATCGGTGATTTTACGCTCCCTGGTTTTTGTATTATCATTAGGTCCGTTATTTGTTTTATTACCTTGTTTATTTTTAATCATCATCATCATCAATCAGCCAATCCCGTCTAGTGCTGGACATAGGCCTCCCTCAGTTCTTTCCAGTGTTCTCTACACTGGGTCGCTTGTAGCCAGTTTCCCGCTACACGTTTTATATCATCGGTCCATCTAGTCGGTGGTCGTCCTCGGCTTCTTTTATAGTTTCTGGGCCTCCATTCCATAATACGTCTTGTCCACCGTCCATCTTGTGTTCTGGCTAAATGCCCTGCCCAGTTCCACTTAAGCGTCGTGGTTGTTTCGATGATGTCTTGAACTCCTGATCTTTGCCTGATTTGTTGGTTTGTTATGTGGTCTCGAAGGCTAACGTTCAGCATTGCACGTTCCATGGCTCGTTGTGTAACTGAGTTTATTCGCAGATTTTTGCGTGAGTGTTAAAGTCTCTGCTCCATAAGTTTGTACAGCAAAACACATTGGTTATAAACCTTTCGCTTGAGACATATGGGAATTGAACTTTTTAGAATATGGCTTAATTTGCCAAATGCTGCCCATGTTAGGCCTATTCGCCTCTGTATTTGACGTGTTTGATTGTCTCTGCTTATTTTGATTTCGTGTCCCAGATATTTGTAAATGTCTGTTTGTTGTATGGTATTATTGTCAATAGTTATATTTCCACTCATTTCGAGATTTGTTATAATTATAGTTTTCTCAAAATTTATCTTTAATCCTGTTCTTTCAGACAGACTTTTAAGCGAATGCATCATAGAAACTGTATCTTGTAAATTATCTGCGATTAATACAACATCATCTGCAAATCTTAGGTGATTTAATCTTTCTCCATCTATATTGATACTCATATCTTGCCATTGAGTGCTCTTAAATATTGACTCTAGAGCTGCCGTGAACAATTTTGGTTAAATATTGTCTCCTTGTCTAACTCCTCGACTTAAGCTGAATTTTTCTGTGTCTTCGTGTAGTCGTATACTTGATGTAGCGTTCTCGTATATGTTTTTGATTAGTATCGTATACCTGTAATCTATTCGGCTTTGATTTAGAGTTTATTTTTAATACTTACATTTAAATTTGTCCTTTCTTCATTACTATTGCTATGTTCATTACCAATATTCTTCCACCCATAATGTTGCCCCTACTATTAGTATGCCTAATACCACAGCCACAAAGGTGGCTGTGCTAATACCCATATTTCCATTACAAAACATATTAATAATACAGCATTTATCATTTATATTCCTAATCATATTCTAATTACTACTTAAAACTAAATATTTGTTATCATTGTCCGGCTTATTTAGAAATTCTTCTTTTTCTATTCGTTGAATGACCTCTTCTTGGTTCCTTTTATGCAGCTGTGGTAGTTTTTTTGAACTCGCTATTTCCACTATTTTTGTTTCTTTTTGGCACCATCTCCGTTCCTAGCCGTCTATTCTGATTTTGTTGTATCCAATGTTGACCACTTTTTCATTTTTCCTCATCTCCCTTGCTTTATATCTCAAAGCTTTCATTTTCTCTCTCTTTCTCTCTCTCTCTCTCTTCTTTTGTTAGATCCTTGGTTATCCATGTTTTCTCTGATTTCACATTTTCAAGTTTATATTACAATTACAACCCCCACTGTTGGCGAAACGTCGAGAACTAATCTCAGAGGACAACGGCCTAACAGCTCGAACAAACAGTTTAACAGTTAGACGATAGCCGTTAAAGCCTAACGCAGTTTACATTAACTGTTGTTTGACGTTTTGATATCCACTTCGGAAATCGTTTTAAAAAAAAAATAATTTTCTATTATTATTTAAAAAAATAGTGAGGTGTTACTATAACGGAAAGTACTTCCGTTATAACATTTCGCCATGGCGCATCAAATCAAAACTTATAAAAAAAACTTTAAGGATCTTACAAAATAAAGATTTACTTACTTGAGGCATCTAATCGTTTTAAGCTTCTCCCAGCTGGTAGGTACAGGTATCTTAGTATTAACAATAGTGTGAATATTATAGCACTATACAGCAGGAAGGTGCGATCGATAGATGCTATTAGGATTATTATTCCACCAACGGAAAACACAAACTAAAAGATAATATGGATATTTCAGTATCAGTGAGAATTTAAACACTAAAGCACAACATAGCGGAAAAGTATTATCAATAAAATGTATTAAGATTGGAAAGTATGTATTAAGATGTATTAAGATTATTATATTACGGAAATATAATATTTCCATCGACGAAAAGCAGCAACTAACAAATAATAAAACAATAAGGTGGTAAAAATTAAGCCGTTTTTAAGTATGGAAAAAAATTGAGACTAGAGATTAAATAAGAACATAAAACAATAAATGAATATCACATGTGTAAGTCAAATTGGCTTTAATTAGTTTAGTTGGTTAGGTTAAGTTATAATAAAGTTGGGTTATGTAAACTTATGGTAGATTAAGTCTTTTTAGATGGATATAGGTGCCAAATACAATTGTAAAAGGATACACGGAGAAAAGATTTACGTAATAGAACAGATGAAAACTATAACCAATACAAAGAGCATAGGAAAACAGTAAAATAGGTAATACCTAAGGGGTTATAAAAACAAAATAACATCGATAAAGAACTAGAACCATGATACTATGACTATAAGATCAGATATTGCGCATGTTTTTGTGACGTCATTGGAGACTTGCACGTTCGAAATGTCAGTTTTTGTATATATCAATAAATAATCTTTAATAAATAGTTTGGAGATATCCTTATGTGTACGATTATTGTAATTATTAAACCTCTTAACTTATTTTCGTCTAGTAATTTCATACATACAAATCTCATTTAACTTTAACAAGAATTCAAATTCTAGTCTCCAATGACGGCATGCGCGAACCCGACCGATGTTGAGCTACGGGAAGATCCTATCTTGTTATTCATAGTATCATGACTAGAACGAAGACCTATTGACAGAAGAAGAGACAATAATAAAGAGATGGGGAGAATGTTTCCATAAACTTTTACAGGTGGAAACGAAAAATACTGGAAATTGGCAGAAAGAAACAAGCGATAATGAAGAATATGACATTGTAAAAAACATTATATTTGAGGAATTAGAAATAGATGCAATAAGAAAACTAAAAAATGAAAAGACATCTGGATATAATAGAATTACGGCAAAAATGATTAAAATTATGGGTAAAAAAGGAAAACAAAAACTACCGAAATTATTCAATATAGCATTTAAAGAAGAAAAAGTACCTACAGACTGGGCAAAATGTTTGATTTAACCTGCCCTGTAGAAGGGCGATCAATAAGATTATAAGAACTATAGAGGTATAAAATATAAGAAAACAATAACATCAAGAAAAGCTGGGAAAATCTCAAAAATACCATAATTAATGCAGCAACAGAATTACTTGGAGCATAAGTGCCTGGAGGAATACTACTTAAGCGCAGGACAGTCCGGAATGTAATTTGGCGACCGAGCGAACCGAGCGAGACGTGGTGGCTAGTTGTTAGTTTGAATCTAATTGTAACGACCAATTACGTTTGAAAAATTTTTTTGCCCGTGTTCCATTTTAATTGATATTGGTAAGTTTAGCCAAATAATTTTTGCGGTACTCAGTGCATATTTCATTTCTATAATTATAAATGAATAAGAAAACTGATGCAATGGTATGTATAACTAAAGAGCTTCACAGAACAACTTGATGATTCTAATCAGGATCTTGTGGATATTCCTTTCGACCATAGCTTGTATAATTCTGATACAGAACAGTCTGACCAAAGTGGCATTGACGTGATTGACGTGAGGGACCTTCTCGTGGCTAAAGCACAAACCTAACTTGCCTTAACGAAAAACACGTCCCTATAATCTTATTACTCAACTGCTTGATGTAAAAACCGTTGCCAAAACAGCTGCAACCGCTTAAGATTCCTGAAAATTATTTTTTCCTGACTTAGTCGTGGAACAAGTTTTTTACTTTACGAACCAGAAATTAGAAAAACTAAGGAAATCTTATTCGCGACCTAGAATGTCCTTCACGACCTATAGACTGTCCACCAGTTGATTTTGATGAAATCTACGCATTCTTGGGACTTTTTTACATGGCTCTTTACAGCTATAATGTCAGAGCGAATATTTCATGTTATTCTTCAGGCTTTGCGATTCGACAATCATAACTGGCAGAAAAGCAAGAGCCAAAAATAATAATTTGGCCCAATTCTTAAATTATTCAATCATTTTGTAAAGGAATTCTCTACAAATTATAGCGTTGGACAGTATGTAACAATAGATGAGATACTCGATAGTTTACGTGGAAAGTGCCGCTTTAGGCAGTACATTGCTAATAAGCCTTCCAAATATGGCATGAAAATATTGATTGGCGTCAGGACATTTTATACGTACAATATCAAAATTCATGGTGGAAACCAACCACAAGGTTCATATCGTTTGCCAAATGATAATTTAAGTGTAGTAAAGCTATTGATAAGTCTGAAAGGAACATGACAATGGACAATTACTTTACTTTCGTGCCACTTGCTAATGACTTGCTCGTAAATCATAAACTGACTATGGTTTGTACAATTCACAAGAATAAGCGAGAAATACCACCTCAATTCTTTCAACTGAAAAGTCGACCTTTGAGCAGTTTGCAATTTGCAAGGAACATACACATACGACCACATATACTTGCATTGACTGTAATAATTCCAGTTAGGAGAATCTTTTGTAAATGAATATTTTGTGATTAATAAATATGAATACGTTTTTGCATTACTGTACCTAAAAACAGCAATATTTATCAAATAATACTGACCACTAAGTATTTGCTTAATGTTGGATAAAATCTATCGTGCAACCGATCGCTTCCTAGAGAAGGTAGCGACCGATCCTGGGTTAAATATCTAGACATCACATTATCTAGCTACGGAAAGCCAAAAACACAAGTTGAAAATCAAGTGAATAGAACAAATAGAGATGCAGGTTGCCTACATAAAACAATAGAGAGAAATAAAAATATCAGGAAAGAAATGAGTCATATCTACATAAAAGAAGAGAAAGAAAAAAAGAAATGACACGAGTCTCTGAACTACACTTACCAGAGAAACGATGGAAAGCTCTGTATTGACCTGAGCCTATACAGACTGTCTCATTTATTTAACCAACACTGCTAAAATGGGTACTTTTAAAATCTTCGCGACGAAACTTCACTTAATTGGCTATTACTTTAGTTGTTAGCTTCTTACATAATAATATTTGCACCTACCCTGTAACACTCACTCAACGTTTGCGGCAATTGCTCATCGATATTAACCAGATCTTGGGAAAATCTGTTGAGTATATTACCGATATAATTTCGATCGAAAAATAACATAACTGCATTCAAAATCTTTTTCACAATGGTGTTGTGTAAGTTTACAGAAGCTCGTCTACAAAAATCGAACATCAGATATGTTTTAGCGAGGTCCAAGATCGCTGATACTACAATCATTATTGTATAGCTTCTAAAGGTGTGCTGTTCTTTTTCTCGAGCAATATCTAGGTAAGACGACGCATTGTTCATTGATTGTGAATTTGGAGGAACGTGCCAAGATATGTTAGATTGGAGTATTAATACGTCTTGTTGGTTGTCTACCCTAAAATAAAAGATTTTTTATGTGAGAATATCATTGTTGATTATAATTATTTCTCCCTCACCCATTATAACTAATATAATTACGTAATCAAACCTTTATGCTCAACAAGATCATAATAATCTCGACATAACTGAGAAAGAACTAAAAGAATTTCTAGGAGTTTTACGCAAAACCGATTCTTAACAATTCTTCTACTGTAAACAACAACGAAAATATTGAAAGAATTCACAATAGCTGAAGTTTTTTGTCTTGTCGTATCGTGTCCACAGTCCACAATGGTTTTTGACAAACTGTTCAAAGTAAGGCCTTTGATAACACAACTGCAGCAACACTTTCAAGAGAACTTTTATACAAGTAGAAATGTTGCGGTAGATGAAAGTATGGTTGCTTTTAGGGGCGAAGTTCTCTCAAGCAATATATGCCAAAAAAGTCCATAAAAATAGGCTTCAAAGTCTGGGCCGTTGCATGCTCCGAAACTGGATATTTTAAAGAATTTTTACTGCAGTTTTGAACTTGAAAGAGAATATATTAAGGAATATTAAAAGTACTTACCATCTTGTTAGCAGTTTATCAGAATAACTCTCCGAATATTGCGTTAGTCCACCCATCATAAGGTTAAAAAAAGCCAATGCAAATCCGCCACCATAGATAAAGTATTTTCCATATACATTAACACTCACAGATCCTTTCTTCTGAATTTCACTGTATACGGGTCTAGCTGCTTCAACTTTGTCTTCTTCGAGAAGCTTGTGATACTCATTAACTTGATTATCATTCTCCGTTTTAACACAGTCTTTTTCTATATCATCATCTGTAGTAATAATATAACCCACTTCTTTTATTATAAAGTCATTCGGTTTTCCAAACTCTTTTAATTCGCCGTCCTTTATCAGTATAACGTTATCGGCGTGTTGAATATGACTGTCTTTTTGGCATACCAAGAAAACTATTTTGTCTTTCAGGTATTTTAAAATGCACTCGTTAAAAATGTAGTCTTGGACGCTTTGGTCTAACGCAGTTAATGCGTCGTCCAACAAGTATATCTCGCTTTGTTTGTAGACTGCTCGTGCAAGATTAATTCTAGCTTGCTGTCCTTTGCTAAGATTAGATCCTCTATCAGATAATACTGTCTCATCTCCTTTCTCGAAGAGAGAAAAGTCATATTGAAGTGCACATACCCGAATCACTTCTTGGTATCTACAATTCAAAAAGAAGGTAAATATTGTATTATAATAGCTTTATTTAAAAAATCATTTCAAGTTAATGAAGTGAAATTATTATAAGTGTCAGAATAATCGCTGACATCCAATGCGGATAAGGCACGGGAAGAAGAAGGGCGCTACATAAGCATGACAGTCAATAACCAAAAAAAGAATACAAGGACCGTTACAATGTGTGTAGAATATAGGTAAAAGAAATAAGAATAAGACTTATTCACAATCTATTTAATTCTACCACCAACGACCGTTTTCTCATATTACAATTTGCTATGCATCTTCAGGTCTTACGGTACACGGTAAATTAAATGCTGAAATTACAAAAACCCGCATCAGGATGCTGTCTAGTATACCAATTATGCCAATATTATAATGTCTGTGATTATTAACATGAATTAAATTGATTAAAGCAGACATAGCAAAAAACAAGCGACAAAATAATCTAATAAATTGAAATTAAATTAGTAAATAACCATTAAATACTATTATAATAGTATAAATAAAGTTTGAACTATGTTTTCATAGTTTTTCAAATCACTAAATAATAATTTTTGTACCGGCATGTGAGTAGTATTTATTATTTACTAATTTAATTTTAATTTATTAGATTATTTTGTGTCACTTGTTTTTTTACTTGTGTCAGTTTGTTTATAATAACATAATATTGGCATAATTGCTGTATTTCTTTACGAGACAGCACCCTAATGCAGGTTTTTGTAATTTCAGCATTTAATGTGCCATGTACCGTAAGACCTGAAGATGCATTGTGTGTAAGCCTTATTCTTATTTCTTTTACCTACTTGAAATGGATCACACAGGCAACATATCTGATAACATTTCTGATCTGTATATGTTTTTCTGTGATTATAGCACCATCTATCGCGAATCGGGAAAAATTCAGATAAGACTTGTTTACTTTGTCACGTAGAATGCCAAATCTGCAATAAAAAATATGGTTTATTAAAGATTTTAGAAATGATATGGGCACAAGAGATGTTTTGTTCGGCTTGAATGTGCTGGCCCAGAGATGCATGGATATGAACATGTACTTATGTTTTGTAAATTTTGAAAAGGTATTTGATAAGGTTAAACATAAAAAGCTTGTAGAAATATTTAAAAGCAAAAATATTGACAGTTGTGATATGAAAATTATACCTAATCTATATTGGAATCAAACTGCCAAGGTAAGAGTTGACAACCAGAACACAAGAGATATAAAAATATAGAGAGGAGTCTGCCAGGGTTGCGTGCTGTCACCACTACTCTTTAATATCTACAGTGAAGCGGTATTTAAAGAAGCGCTCTCAGATTCAATAGAAAATATATCTATCAATAGAGAAGTTTTGAATAACTTGCGTTTTGCAGACGATACAATAATATTGACAGATAACAACAATGATTTACAGAACTTAATGCAACGACTTAATGAATGCTGTCATGAATACGGACTAAGGATGAATTTGAAAAAAATCTTTACACAACGAACTAAGAATAGATTAATGATACATACGACAAATCTATTCCAACCATTGTACTGTAAGACGGAATTGAATTATCACGATCAATTAAACAAATAGCAACTAAAACACCAGACAAATAAAAATATAAAAAAAAATTATTGACAACCAGCTATGCAAGATGTAAGACATTAAACAAAATATAATTTGAAAAGTTATGCAATCTAGAGAAAAAATGGACAAGTATCACATGGTTGTAAGTCCGATATACTTAAAAACAGTTATGTAAATGATAATACTTACCTTTTTTCATTATACTGTTGTCCAAAAATGATGTTCTGTTTAATAGTCGAAGGAAACAGCCAAGGATCTTGAGAGGCATAAGAAATCCTACCTTTAGTAACAAAATCTCCACTTGTAATAGGATAGTCCTGAACTAAAACTTTAAGCAAAGAACTCTTGCCTGACCCAACTTTTCCAGTTACCAAGGTCAATCCAGAGTTAACTTTAAAACTAACACTCTTTAAAATTTCTTTGTCTCTAATTGATACTGAAACTTTATCCATCTCCACATAAGGGCTACCCGTTGGTTCTGACTTTTGTGGTTTGATATTTATTTCCTCAGAGTTCATTACCTTGCTGATTCTCTTAAACGACGAGATGAATTCTCCGGCTTTTCCCATGCGATTTGGTATAACATTTCCTAGAGTTTGTTTCAAGTCCTTAAAATTTGACAGGATGTAAAAGATTAGTGTAGTATCTGAAGAGTATCCCAGCCAGATATAAGCAGTTAGAAGAACGTAGAAGCCAGCTTTGGAAAAGATTAGCCCAGTCAAGATGATCAGCATTTTAAAGTAGAATACCAATAGAAGTTTGGACAGTTCTTTGCTAAAATAAAATTAATAAATATTATTATACGTTATTTCTAATACCACGCCTAAATAGGCATAAAGTATGAGAAGAAAAAATATGATTGTAGAAGATGTGACAAAGGTCTTTAAAAGCGAATAAGGAGATGAGAGAATTTTAATTAATTGAATTAATTAAATTACGAGTAGTCGAGGGGGGGTTGAATATGCAAGAATACACTTTTAGCTTTTTGGCAACATCCTTTCAACAAAACAATCGTATTATAAAAGGTATAACAGGACACAGGACTTAATTGGTTTACAACTAATGGTAGATGATAAAATAGTACTGTATCATGAAAGTTCACATGGACATGTGAACATGCACAAGGACGTGCTGTCCCACACTTAGATTCTAGAGGTATTCAATTAATGGGAGTAATATCAAGGAAGTGAGCTCTTCATTTAAGTTACTGAATTGTTCTTTGAAAGTTACGCTATTCTCATTATCTTATAACAGTAAGTCATTGCTATTGTCTGTAGTAAGCAATGACCAATGTCTGTAGTAAGCAATGACCAATGTCTGTAGTAAGCAATGAGCGACAATAACCAAAGCAGAGACAGATAACAGTAAGTCATTGCTATTGTCTGTAGTAAGCAATGACCAATGTCTGTAGTAAGCAATGAGCCGCAATAACCAAAGCAGAGACAGAATCGGTCAGAACATCATCATCGATGACTTTAACTTTGAGCGCGTTAGAGAATTCAAGTATCTTGGAACAACAATAACTGAAGACAATAACGGATCACAAGAAATAAACAACAGGATTCAGGCCGGCAACAGATGTCTTTTTGCCGTTCAAAACCTTATAAAATCGAAACACCTAACAAGACGTAAGAAGATACATGTCTATAAAACAATCATACGATCCGCTGTGATGTATGAAAACGAAACGTGGACGATAACAAAGGCAAACGAAGAGATACTATGTATTTGGGAAAGAAAAATCCTATGGAAGATCTTTGATACTGTGCTGGATGAAGCATCAGGACAATATAGGATAAGAACTAACAAAGAGCTCGAAGAACTTTACATAGACGCCAACATCATAAAAGAAATAAAGTCCAGAAGACTCCAATGGGCAGGACACCTCAGAAGACATTCTGACGAACCAACAGTAAGACTGGTGTGGGAGGAAATCCCAACTGGAAGGAGACCACGCGGACGCCCTAATATATATGGGGGGTATAAACTGGATGAAGGTTGCTCAAGACAGAAAACAGTGGAGGCATGTTGTCGAGTTGCTAAAACCCACGAACGGTTGTAACGCCACGGAGTAAGTAAGTATGAGTACAGTCTGTAGTATCGATTCTGCCTCTCTTCTTTTCCTCTTTTCTTGATTTATTCTGCAGCAGTACTTATTCTCTGATTTCGATAGTTGTTTCCCACAAATACTCTTTGTTGATGGAACTTTAATCTTCTTTGCTGTAGTTTAACGATTTTTGATTGCTTTAATGTTCCAAGAGTCATGGAAAGAAAAATTATCAACATAAAACTGTCAGCTAAAAAAGAATTTCAATAACTAACGACACAAAAGTTAATGTTGCTAACAGCAAATTATCAAAACTACACTGGCCATTCTTCCATTCCACTATCAGATTAAAGGATGAAAGATTCAATATGATAATTATAAAGTGAAAACCATTGCCTATTGGGGAAAAAGAAGGAGACTACGGACGAGAATATGACAGACGAATTAGGAAACCACGCCGGTTGGAGATGGACGCACATGATTTAAGATAAAGAAAGGTGAGGGTAAGGGGGAAGAGAAAAAAGGAAGGCCTGATACCAATTCAGCTCAAACCCACAAGGTTAATAGATATATAGACAGATAGATACATAGATAGACAGATTGATTAATTAGATGTTGTTAGTTTTTAAAAAAATCAACACTTACCATCTTGTAACATTAATTTTTGTATTAAAATATTCTTCCCATGTGTACATCTTTATGATTCTTATAGAATTCAGGGCTTCTTGTGTGACTTGTAGTCGTTCGTCTGTTTTTTCTCCAGTTTTTAATTTAAGATCCGTTACAATCTTTCCCAGGTAAACTAAAAGATAATTTCAATTACATATTAAACAAAAATATATTGTGTATAGTATATATAAACAACACACTATACAAATTCCAAGGGGACTTTCAAACTGAAGCGAATTAATAATATATGCACAGAAAGTTTAGCGGCAATGGGCTTTTACGAGCGCTAAGATAGATTATAGGTTAGTGTGAAAATGACAATAAGAATTCGATAGACTTTCGGAATATAGCAGTGCCATAGAATAAATTATAATAAAAGAGCTAATGAACTTGCCAGAAAAGGATGAGCCACAAAATACTTCGGTTTAGAGCCTTAGAGCTTAGAAAGGTCTTAAAATGGAACCCTGTGGTAAACCGTAGTTTCACATTCACGAATAAATAGACAATGTTGATGGAAGCTGTCTGGTAGATACCACTGTATATTATTCTTTCTTGAAGCCTGTTAAAAATTATGATATCGTATGTCCCTTTGAGATCTATAAAAAGAAACTACTACTTATTTTTTGCAAAGCAAGTCTTAATATCTAGAACCAGTTAATTACTATTAAACTGGGAATAAGCCACAATTAAAGATAAAAATACGTTTATTGACGTTTCAATTTCCACTTCGGAAATCGTTCTCAAAATACAAACAGTAAATTAAACAATTTTTTTTTTGTCTGAATGTCTGAATTGTCAATATAAATGAGTCAGATAAAATTAAATTATTAGAAGAATTTTTCACTATGTAACAAAAAACAAAATTTGTTTAATTTACTGTTTGTATTTTGAGAACGATTTCCGAAGTGGAAATTGAAACGTCAATAAACGTATTTTTATCTTTAATTGTGGCTTATTCCCAGTTTAATAATAATTAATTTACAATGACACAAGAAAACAGCTTCAGAACAATATTCCTCTGTAGTTTTCGTATCCTTTTCTATCTCCTTTCTTAAATATAGATGTCATATATGCCTCCTTCCATTCCTTTGGGAGCTTTTCTTCATTTATGGCTTTTTGAAGTATCCATTTTATTATCGGGTGTAATTTTTTTGAGCCATACGTTATAAGCTCAGGTGAGATGTCTTGAGGTGCCTGGTGCTTTTTTATTTTTGATTGCTTTTATGGACTTTCTCATTTCCATGTCTGTTATTTTTATTTCTTGTTATAGGGATCTGCTTCGTCTTCGCCTGGTTTCTTTTCCAATAAATTGTGGTTTTTGTTCTGTTAACAGTTCCTTGTAATAGTCCTTCCATTGTTTGTCCTGTATATTTCCCAATTTAATTTTTTAATATGTATATTCAGCATGTTTCAATATTTAGGCAGGTTCTTTCCCATTCTTCATTCTCTTGTTGTGGTATTTGTTTTTTTCAATTCTCTATCTTTTTCTCTATATTCTTTATAAACTTCATCGTTGTTGATTCAACTGTAGTCAGCCATTTTCTGTATAGTTTCTTTGTTTCTTCAATTGTTCTTTTAGTTAGTTCATTTATTTCATAATAGTGCTGTTTATTTGTTATATGCTCTTTCTTTCCAAGGGCTTCGAATGCTGCTTCGATGTTGCCGTATCTGAATTCTGTTAATTTTTGGTCTAAACACTGTATATATTAGTTCTCTTATTGATTGTTGTTGGAGTAGTTCTATATTGTATTGTTTTTCTCTTAAAGTGATCAACGGTTCTTCTGTAGAGAGGATCTTGTTATGTTTTCAATTAATGCCCATTTTTGCTGGCAGTAGTTTATGGTCAGTTCCATATTCTGCTCCTCTTCTGACTCGCACATCTTTTATCTTTATTGTGGTTTCTTGTTTGACTATTACGTAGTTTATTATCGATTTTAGCTTTTGTGTTTCTTGCGTCCATGTATATTTATGAATGTTTTTATGTTGAAGAATCCACTGGTGATTTTTAGATTGTTTAGTTCGCATAATTCAATCAGATGTTCTCCGTTATCGTTTTATCCATCCTCTCCCCACAACTTTATCGTTTTCTTTCCTTCCGGTTCTGCCGTTAAGATTTCCTGGTATAATTATCTCCACGTTCTTTTTGATTAGCTCTATTTGGTGTTGTTTGTTCAGTCAATTTTAATAAACTATTGCACACTTTTGCCTAAATATCTTAACTATCTTAACACGATTATTTGTACAAATTTGAGATAACTAAAAAAGAATTTTAGTTAGAGAATCCAAGTCATTCTTTAAAATACATAAAAATTCATATACACATACACACAACGTTTTAGAAAATTTATCATTGACTAAAAACTCACCTTGTATTGGTATAGCTAGAATCAAAATTCCAATTCCAGCAAAAGATACTAGTCCAATTTTGGAATATAACAAATAACAAACAACTATAACTTGTACCACTCCTGTCCAAATTTCGTTAATGATCCAAATCGACAGTCTAAACGTGTACACATCTTTCGTTATCAACGTAACAATATTTCCCAAGCTTATATCTGCCAGGGCAGCTGGACTTAGCTTCAAAGCCTTTCTGTATATCAACGAAGAAAACGCAGCTTTAATTTCGATCGCTAGTCCTTGGACCCACATGATATAATTGTGAAGATAGATGCAGTTCGTTACGTGTAGAAAGAGGACTAAAGCTGCATAATAGTAGGCGTCATTTTTAGTAACTTTGGTTTGGCCTGGCTTAAAATATGAAATTAGGTTGCTGACAGCTGATGGTTCCATTATACTAAAACATAATTAGAAACAAATGAAGTAGGTTTTGTGAAAAACATAAAAACTGAAACCTGAATAAAGAATCATATTGATGATTTGTTTAGTGTAAAAGAAAATCAATCCATCTGATCAACCATAAACATACATAATATAAACTAGAACGTCCAATATTTTCTAAATTATATTCCAAAAACTACTTGTAAAAAGTAGATTCGAATCGCCTGGGCCGCTTGGCAATATCGCTGTAAGTCTAAGAGTAATTCACAAAGTAAATAATCTCACCCACGACAAAAATGCTGAAAGTTCATTTGAAACACTTCAAAAAGGTTGAAAGTCTTTCTGCGTGGACGCTATACGAGGCACGGTTAAAAAGATTAATCCTTCGTCTCGTACACGCGCAAGTATGCGGTTAAGTTTAGAATCTGTTTTGTTTATGTCCATCTTCAAATAAGTAGTAGTGTATTTTAAAATATTATAATTGAAAGAAAGACAGAGACTGTAAATTCTGACTGTAGTGATAAAAGTACTGTGCATAACTTAAACGTGGGATCTAAGCAGAGAAAAAGAATTAGTGGAAGGTTATATGGCTTCTTCTTCTTCCTATGCCGTCCCCATTAACGGAGGTTGGCGACCACATTTTTAAAAGCTTCTCTGTCTTTTGCAACGTGGAATAATTCGTCTACAGTCATGTTTGTCCAGTTTCGAATATTTCGCAGCCATGACTTCCTCTTTCTACCGATTCCCTTTTTGCCATCGACTCTACCCTGCATGATGACCTGCAGAAGACTATATTTATTATTTCTTAGTATGTGTCCAAGGTATGCAGTCTTGCGTACTTTTATCGTTCTCAACAATTTTTTGACTCGACCCATTCTCCTCAGCACTTCCTCATTGGTGACCCTGGCAGTCCATGGGATTCTCAATATTCTCCGGTATATCCAAAGTTCAATGGCTTCAATCTTTTTAACTATTTGCGCTTTTAGTGTCCATGTTTCTACCCCGTACAATAATTGCGACCAGACGTAACATTCAACGAACCTCAGTCTCAGCGCAATATTCAGATTTTTGTCACAGAACAATTGTGTGAATTTTAAGAACGCTGCCCTTGCCATTTCTATTCGTACCCGGATCTCTTGGTCTGGATCTAATTCTGTGTTGATGTAAGCTCCCAGATATTTATATTTTGTCACTCTCTCTATTTGCTGTCCACCAAGAGTTAGTTGTTCATTATTTATTGGACTCCTTGATACTATCATAAATTTGGTCTTATCTGTGTTGATGTCAAGTCCCATTTGAATGCATTCACTATTTATAGCATCTAGTAAAGTTTGTAGATCTTCTATACTCTCAGCCATAATTACCGTGTCATCTGCAAATCTCATGGTGTTTATGATTTCTCCACCAATTCTTATTCCCTCTTTTCTTTCCCATATGGTTATATGGCGTTATGAAGCAATTAAGGTTAAGTTCACATGAAATAGGGCCAGATTGTAAGTGCTTTCGGTACAAATGCTTTCAAAAGATTTGACTTTTGGAAAGAAATACCATTATTAAGGAATGTAATAGAATGTCGAGCAGAGATGAACAGAACAGTTACTTGACTAGTCTTATATCGATGACTTCAATAAATAACCGCAGACCACGAAAAAATGAAAATGATGCCAAGTTTTGCGATAAAGCATATTTTTATAAAGTAAGAGTTCAGCGTCCGGTTGATAACCTTAGTAACTGTCTTGAGGTGCTGGTTTGCATGAGAGCTTTTGTTTTATTACACGGCGTTCATGGACGTCGTCTACAAACGATTCAGGAGTCTCTTAAGAAAACTGGTAAGACACCTACAGATATGAGGGATAAATATAAACACGTACATTCTGCAAAGCACAACATTTGCGGCTGTAAAAGATCATATTAGTTCCTTTAAGGGCCGACAGAGCCACTACAGTAGAAAAAAATCTACAGTGGTGTACTTACCAGACAGTCTAACAATAAGAAAAATGTACAATATGTATAAGGCTTTATTTTTTCCAAATATTTCATGAGTTTTATCGCAAAACTTTTAATATTAACTTAAACATTAAATTTGGATAACCACGCAGCAATACCTGCAGTAGTTTCGATAAAAATAGTGATGAGAAAACAGCAGTATTAAAAAATAAAAATGATTCAACGACGCCAGAAAATGAAAAAACTCTTCAAGAACTAAGAAAGAAGGAAAAATATCATAAAGTGCATTTGCAAAAGGCCGAAGTGTTCTATGATCGTAAAAAAGAAGCAAGAAAAAGAAGCATGAAGAGTAAAGAGTTCGAATCAATAGCGATGGATTGCCAAAAAAACCTTCCTATTCCAAACATTACAACCAACGACGTATATTATAGAAGACAACTTACTTTATATTCATTTAATATTCACGTGCTGTCTACTAGCGATTTCTACTTTTATTGTTACCCCGAAAATATCGCAGCTAAGGGATCAGAGGAAGTTTTTAGAATACCCATTTAAAGTCATAGAAGTAGATCAGTCCCTAATTCGCCAATGGACTCAGTTTCCTTCATCCAGTTTTAAAACAAAATGCCCATTTCCTATCAGACCTATTCGAGAAATAGTTTGTAAAGCCATTCATCCTCAATATATTTTATTTAGAACAAGCTATCAAGGGGCTTTCGAAACTTATGTGATTTGTACCAACATTATTTTATAAACTGATTATATGGCAGGAACCCAAGATTTTTTTATCCTACAGAAGTTATACAGGTAATAGATTCTTATTTATACCCAATTTTCTTCATTATTTTGTCTTTCAGATTTGTTGCCAATTAGTTTGGAAAAGTGGAAAGACTTACCACAACTTAAGCAGTTTTGTGGTATTGTTGCCAAACATTTTTTCGACTGCCTCGCTCACAACACAACGGAACAAGGGATAAGAGTTAGTCTTGTAAAGAAAATAATATAAAAAACACAATATTGCTATGTTTAGTAGTGGTAGTTACATAATTTTTTTTTCGACTTGCATTTTTTTGAGTATTGCTTTAATGCTATACACCGTTTTTGTCATTTTTTTGTGTATTTTCGATCAAATCATGAAAAATAAAAAAAATTGAAAAAACAACAGTTTAGGAATATTTTTATCATTTTTATCGATAAATTATTCGCTCCGTGCGTGACTGATGCGACACCTACCGCCTTCATCTGACAATCTTGGACCTCCCAATTTTCAGGTTAAATATATGACATATGTTTGACATTGTTACATACATGCGAAATTAACAATTATTAATAAATTAGTTTTTTAACTATATTTTTTCAGTTTATGTACAAAATAAATGTAGTATTAAAAAGTGGGTTTCTCAAAATTCATCATAATATATTTTTTCAACTCCAAACGGAAAAGAAAGGAAAAAATCTAGTACTGGCAAATCCAGTTTTTCACGCAAAAGAGCATATAATTAAAAACAATAATAGTAAAAGTGATGATATAAAAGCTAAATTCATCTGCAGTTAGCTTGAAGCCTTATGAAGTATCATTCAAGGTAAATTATTTAAATTTTTCCTATTTCAATTGCATAAAAATGAAATTATTTACTTTATTTTCATATTAATAGCACGAATTCATCTTTTCTTTTCTCTAATTTATGTGTAATATTTGGGAACCTATAAAAACTACACACTGTTTTTGCTATTATTAGCACAATTAAATACGCAACATGTATTTGCACACATTTTTGATAAAATTTATGCGTAAAAATATTTTGTCCAATATTCCAATTTTGTCATATTTCGCCGCTATGCAAGCTGGCATCGTTTCAATGTACCCCTACCATGGTCACGCACGGAGCGAATATTCCCATTCAAAAACAGTTTGACTTAAAATTTGTATTAGAACATTTTAAAATTAGTCTTTGAACTTTAAAATTAACTTTTATACAAAATTAATAAAAGTGACCTTCATCGTTTTTGCCGTATAGGCTTCAAATCTAGTTCGCCAGATGTTACAAACACCAATATTATTAAAAAAAGAGGTTAGTCTTCGTAAGTGGGTATATTTATTTTAAAACCCGTAAAAGGGCTACATAAAAAAACAAGCGTTTTCGGACTAAACAGTCTATCATCAGGTTTTAAAATCGCTAGGTTAAAATGCCTGAGCTACCAAAATACATGGGTAAAAACCCTTTAAATTACATATAGTTATAAAAGATTATACATCTTGTTGTTTAAAAACTGTGATGTTCAGTATTAAATTAAATATGACTTCAGGTAACATACATTATAAAAATTGAGTTCCAGAGCCGGAGAGAAAACCTCTACGCACGGAGAACAGCTGGAAACTTGAGTTTAGTCCGAAAACGTTTGTTTTTTTTATGTAGCCCTTTTACTGGTTTTTAAATAAATATACTCACTTACGAAGACTAACCTCTTTTTTTGTGATACGTGGTATACAGCCAGCTGCAGGAATTGTTTTCCTTGTGGATTTCAATATTATTAATACCTGGTCCTCAATTTATTTTTTTTAATTAATGTCCTATATTATAAAACAATTTCGATCATGTAAACATACAGACAATCTTAAACATTTTCAACTACAAGATCCTAACTAAAGTAAAAAACGTACATTAGCATGCCTATTTGCAAAACAATCTTCCAATCCTAAGGTCTTAAAATCAACCACTAGTTAACATGTTTTCTGATATTCTACAACTACCACTAAAGCTTTAACAAAAGATTTCAGCTAGTCGATTACCCAAAACTCACTTTTTAATGAAGAAAATCATCTGTCAAACTAACTCATTAAACGTTGCATGTCCCTGCTCACCCACAGATCGATCTAATACATTAGTGTGTTCTAGTCTAAGTACCAGATCCATTTAGAATTTTAAACCACTGCAATAACCTTTTTGTTTTCAGGTCAGGGCCAAAAATAAATATATTCGAACAAACATTTATTTCTTACCTTCTGAAAGTCCTCCAAGTGAGATCAATGCATCCTATAAAAATATACTTCCATCCCCACCTTTTCCACATAAGCCGGGCCATGGAAGGTCTGGCTCTCTTGCTTTCCTCCGCCCATTGTTCTTCCAGAAGATCTCCAGATGTCTTAGATTTTAAGTTCTTGAGAACATCGTAGACATTGGATTCCTCCAAATCGTTTTTCAGTGCTTGCCTAAATAAACTTCCAGTGTATCTAAAAGAATGAATAAAAAAACAGGATTAAAAAGTTAAATCTTTGTGTTCATATCGAAATTTATAAAAAAAGTATGAGAAGAAAAATTCGAATTTTTATTCCACACCTGAATAAATGTGCAAAAATAGCAGAGCAGATAACTTCTTGGAATTGTAGAAGATTAGAATCAAGGGAACGAGAAATAATCGACGAACTAATAAGTTGTATACAGTATAGGTAAAAGTTTATGGTCGGTATGGACCCTAACCTTCTTATCTATGGTATGGACCTTACATGAGATGGAGTGAGAAACAACTGTTTAAAAAGAGAGAGATATATTAGCTGTCCGCCTTTTATATCACCGAACATAAATGAGTGGATATGGAGTGGATATAATAAAAAGGGGAAATTCAACGTTGCCAAACTTATTGGTTTTATTTGACCTGTTGTCTTTTTCGCATTTGAACAATGCTCCAAGATAATGAAATTTGGGCGAAATTGATTTAAATGGCAGCTTATTGTTTTTTATTGGGAATATGCCACAATTTTACTTTACAATAAGTGTAATATAACATTTTGATTTATACTTCGGAAATCGTTTTATATAAATAAAATTTATTAATGTTTGGTATTTTAAAAACGATTTCCGAATTAAAAATCTAAACATCAAAATAAGCTTATTTTAAAGTGACATTATGCCTTATTTCCAATAAAAATATTAAACTGCATATAAATAAAAAAGCTTCGTACAAAACTATTTGCCAACGTGGCGTGTCGCGTGGTCAAATCACCGAATCAAAGGGTAAACAGGTATTTACGAATAGAGGTGGGTCATTGACGTCGCAAAACCGATTTTCGTAAACAAGTAACTATGATTTTTTAATAGTAGTTTCAAGTAAGAAACTACCTACATAAACAAACATAATGGCTATTATCGTTTATCTGTATATTTATTGAAGTGAAGGAAACTAATAAAAGATTTTATTATAACTTGAAAACTAAACTAAACAATACAAATAGTAAATCGTACATACGTTTACATTACACGTTATTATTAAATCACGAATCGTCTAAATTGACATTTAAAAACATAAGTTTTTTTACTTTACTTCTTATTAATTGTGTTTTTCTTTTATTTAAAATTAAACCTGATTTTGAACATGTGTTCACATTTACAATACTTTATGAATATAGTGGTTAAGTTAGGAGATACATGGCGATGGTTTTTCCACCATTGTAATGGACTCTCGCTACAGGTGTACGTTTAGATGAGTCATGTCCAATTAATTGATCAAAAATACACCATGGACTTAAGTAATCTTTATCGGTTTCTTTTTCTTATACTGGTTGATTTTCAATAGTACAATCTTCTTGTTCTTTAATTATAGAAGTAACCAGCTTCTTAACTCTTTCTTTTGTTTTTTTAGCGTCATTTTTATCAGAAAATCCCTGCACTTTAAATCGTGAATCCATAAACGTACATAATGACAATATGCCACTGTATTATATCCCTCTAAATCTTTTTGCTAAACCCGAGATTAGTAATTATCCCGTAATTAGTAATAAAAACCCGTACTACGTCGGATACTAACTATGGATGTAAGGTTACTGTTTGCTAAAATTTTATTGCAAGATTTTTGCAGGCAGCGTACCAGAACAATCACTGAACTATCATTCAAGTATTTTTGGCCACTCATTGTACTTGTTATTTCTTTAAAAGGCCGTAAAATTTAGGACAATTACGAAAAAATAATCCAGTCTTCATTATTTAGATTTGGTCTAAGTCTAAGTCTGTATTAACTGATACCAATGTGGAACGGATTGCCTCTTCTAACTCCGTCATTCTTTCTAACATGTAATAGGTGAAGTTCTACCTAGTTTCCACGTCTTGGATTGGCCGTTTGGGATCTTTGTTATGTTGTAATTGATACTTTAAAAGCGTTTCTGAAGATAAGGTACTTTTTTTAAGGTATGTGTTTTTTGCCGAATTGTCGAAAAAAAGACTTTTTATTTTATCTATTTGTACACGACAGCATTTAAGTGCGTCCTCCATCAATAAATTTAACGTATGAGCAAAACAATTTAAATGTTTTCATTTCAAAACATATTTAATAGCTATGACCATATTTGAGGCATTATCAGTTACTGCAAAATTTACTTTTTGTTTTAGACTCCCACTGAATAATAATTTCACTAATTTTAAAAGCGATGTTTTCTGAATTATGGTTTCCAGAAAAATGGCAGCAGTCTAATTAAACCGTGTTAAACTCTAAATTTTCGGTTAAATTCGTTAAAATCAACTAGTTGATGGTTGAAGCTGGTTACTTCTATAAAAAAAAGAAAAAGAAGATTATACTATTGAAAATTGACTAGTACAAGAAAAAGAAACTGATAAAGATGACTTAAGTCCATGTAAATGTAAGAACTATTTGTATTGTTTAATATATTTTTCAAGTTATAATAAATATATTCTTCGTTAGTTTCTTTCACTTTAATACTTATACACATAAACGATAATAGCCAATATGTTTGTGTGCTCGCTAATTTGAATACTGGTAAACAATCAACTAGTTACAGTTTACAAAAAACGGTTCCGATAAAAATTTAAAAAACTAAAGGACCCACCTCTAGTTTCTTAGCTTTATGAGGATCGGAACCACAGAATATGTAAAATATCTCTGATCGGAACTAATCGTCTCACTAACAGGCAAAATGGGCGTCAAGAAGATTTATGGAGGGGAGACCAAGGGGGAATATGATTGTTATCTTTGTCTATTCGCTGAAAATATGATTTTATATCTGTGTTAGATATCCTGTTAAGTTTTACCATACCGACCATAAAATTTTACCTACACTGTATAATATAAATATAGGCGATATAAATGAAACACAAACTGAAACTTCGACTAATTGAAAATTTGGACGATTACACCAATGATAGAGTAGACTAGATCAAAATTTTGGAATCGTTATGCCTCATAAACCAGACATTGATTTTTGAATATATTTTGGATCGTAAAATACAAAAACAAATTGGTCCTATTGGACAGGAGTTTTTTAAATCACTTAAAATTGAATTTCGAAAAAATAGTTATTTTACGAATTTTAGGAGGTTTAATTGTTTATGAGTTTTGTAATAGATAAAGCATTATTATATTTTTATAAAAAATGTGTTTTCTTATGTTGTCGAGTGTGTTACACATGATTCCGGTGTTAGTTTTTTATTATAATGCGTAAAAAAAGATACAAGTTGATACAATTATTGAAGAATTTTTTGAATTTTTGTCAAAATTTTAATTTTAGCGCTATTTTTGGATTCCTAGCACTATATTTGGATTCCTAGCACTTCGGATCAATAATGCGAAGTGAAATAGAATATGCAGTTAGAACCACAAAGATGCATAAAGCAACAGGTCCAGATGAAATTAATATAGAAGCAATAAAACTACTAGACGAGGAGAATATCGAAATCTTGGTAAGGCTGTTCAATAGAATTTATATGATACTGGTTACATTCCGCGAGAATGGCTGCAGTCATCCTTTGTGATGATCCCAAAAACAGCTAATGCCACAAAATGCAATGAACACAGCTTAATCAGTTTAATGAGTCACTTGTTGAAACTCTTCCTTAGGATATTACACTCAAGAATGTACAAGATACTAGAAGAACTTAGCGGGTCAACACAATTCGGTTTTAAGGGAGGACTAGGAACAAGAGAGGCAATTTTATGTTTGAACACCTTAATACAAAACTGCTTAGATCAACGAAAAGATGTCTACCTCACCTTCATCGACTACGAGAAGGCATTTGACAATGTTAAACATGATATCATGATGAAACTACTACATAGGGCCAACATTGACCAGAAGGAGATCAGAATTATTCAGAATCTATACTGGAACTAAATGGCAAAGGTGAGGATTGATCGAGACCAATATACGGATGAATTTGAAATCCGGAAAGGTGTCCGCCAAGGCTGCATACTCTCTCCGATGCTTTTTAATTTATATGTTGAAAATATATTTGCGGAAGCATTAGAAGATACGGAATTAGGCATTAAGGTGAACGGCATACCAATTAGCAACCTACGCTATGCGGACGACACAGTGATTATAACTGATAATTTGGAAGATCAGCAGTTATTACTTGATAGGGTGAATAGCATAGGTAAAAAATATGGCCTCAAAATCAACATTTTGAAAACGAAATATATGGTCATTAGCAGAAACCCTCCAGAAAACCCGATAATATGCATAGGTGACAATCGCATAAATAGCGTAAAAACTTTTAAATACCTTGGCACCACAATCAATGACCAATCGGATCCACAACACGAGATAAAAACCCGAATACAAATGGCAAGACAAGCTTTTGTGAAATTCAGACCGCTCCTATGTAATCAACACCTAAACTTCGAAATACGCTACAGAATGGTCAAGTGCTACATATGGTCCATCTTGCTTTATGGTATGGAAACGTGGACTTCTATCTTTCTAAAAAAACATCTATCAACTAACTTGAAGCATTTGAAATGTGGTCATTGAGAAGAATGATGCGCATACCTTGGGTGGATAGAGTTCGAAACGATGACGTCCTTAATAGAGCCGGCGTGGAAAGAGAACTCTTTGAATTAATTAAAAAACGCAAGATTGGTTACCTTGGGCACATATTGAGAGGAGCAAAATATGAAATACCACAGTTAATCCTACAAGGGAAGATCGAAGGTAGGAGAGGAGCCGGCCGCAAACAATTATCCTGGTTAAGGAATATTAAAGAATGGACAGGAATACACAATACAGGTGAGCTGTGTCACGCCGCCAAGAACAGAATTCTAGTAATGAGATAGTCGCCTACGCACTTTGGTGTATGGCATGTTAAGAAGAAGAAGAAGCACTATATTATAATACATAGAGCTTAGATATGGCTTTGGAGAATGCTCTGAACATAGGAGATTTTGGGGACCGACCAGGGCATTGATGTACAAGCAATAACATATGCGGAAAGCACAACGAAAACTGAT